GCTTAAAGCACTTCAAAGTCAGTACGTTTCCTTTGAATACGCTTTTGTTTTGCACTTCATATAGGCTTTTTCATAATTAAGAAAACCCGAAATTAAAAATTTAAGATTAAATTTTCCGCCTAATGAGATGAACTCAGCTACACATAAGTGTGCTTTGAATTGTGTGCAAGCAGCAAATCGATTGTGCGGCTCTACATTTGATTTCAACTACTTTAAAATGCACTTGGCGTAAGGTACTTCAAAGTCAGTATGTTTCTTTTGCAGATGTCTTTTCAACCAATTTAAAATTACTTACTATTAAATGCTAAAATAGTTAATTGCCCAAAGTTAATTATTCGCGAAGATATACATCAAAAGTGTAAATATTTGGTTTATCTCAATGAGGCTAGGTGACTATACATCAATTTGAAGTTATTGCTATGTACATTAATAGAAATAAACTAATTTTTCTGAGGTAATTGATCAAATGGTTTGTTTTTTTGAAGGTCCATAAGTCATTTCCGTCTTTTAAGTTTAAATATTTGGTTACTTCTAACTGAATGTATCTGCAAGTCGCTCTACTGTCATAAACTAATGACAAAACCTTGCACGAATAACAGACGCGTTCAGATTCAGGTAAATATGTACAAACGTATCATTAACAATTGCAGTTCGTTCATGCGTCATTTTTGGGCACTTGGTCCTACATAACTATGCATTGTAGATACATAAATGTGTACATATACAACACATACCTACATAAACACAGCTATACAGGTATTTATGGTGGAGTGAAAGTATCTTTAAAGCATTTGTTACAGGCCCGTAGCCAGGAATTTTTTTCGGAGGGAGCTTATTAGCATAAACAAGCGAAGTCTCCCACAAGTTTTATGCAGTACATATTTACATAATCATACATGTATGACGGTCTTTATACTTGTGCAGAGTTTACCGTCATCAAGTTGAAAGTCTTGTTCCCACTACGAATGGGTAAATTCGATATTCGAAGCTTCGATATTCGATTTTTAAACGAATTTTAGCTCCAAAATGGCGAATTTTTGAAATCAAACTTTGTGGTGGTAAAATGCGCACAGAAAAAGATCGAATATCGGCTTTAGTGGCAAAAAAGCAACTCCGAAACCTATTTTTGACTAAATTTGGCATCACTGTATTTGCCGCATTTTCCAAGCCAAAAAAATACATCGATGTTTTTTGATTTGATGCATCGAATAATGGCATCGATGCATCGAATGAATTAAATAAATACAAGAAAATGGAATAAGTGGAACTTCGATGTTTAAGTATTAACATACTAATCAAGTTATACAAATAAATTCATAAAAAATAATACGATTTTAGATGTTTTATAATTTAAAAACTGGTGACGTGGAATAATGTCAATGGAATTAATGTCACTGACATGAATACACAATTGAAACCTGAACTAATTACAATGAAACGTTCGCGGACGCCCCCCTCCCCTCTTCCAAAAAAATATTGTCTAATCCGCTTTTTACATATTTCATAAAAATAACGAAATATGTAAATAAAATATTTGTTGGTTGAAGTATTTGCTTGCAATTCTTATATGTATATGTAAATGAATTAACGTTTTCTGTAGGTTTGGAAGGTTAGTAACATTTTCGATGAAGTTAATATACTTTCATTTTGTGAATTCAAGTCTAAATAACAAAATTTGTTTTTATAACATTACATACATATTCCACTTTTAGAGGATGAATCAATTCCAAAAAGACTTAGTTCCAATTGACATTATTTCACTTTTGGCCTGTGTACTGTCGTAAAATTTTAGTGTCGGGTGATTACTGTGAAATGTGAATTGAAATTTTTAACATAAATCAAGAATACCTAATGTGACAGATCGTACATCGTACTGAGTACAGTACTTCTTTTTGAGCCGTTGTACTTCGTACTTAGCAGTACAGTCAAATGTACTTCTTTGAAATATTTTAAAGTTGAGTTTTCTTTAACTGCTTCGAGCAAATTTTCGAAGGTTAGTCATCTCAGTTAAAAAAGGGACTCACAGATCAACACAGAAATTATAACTTTCAATTACTTTACTTCTTTATCTGAAAAAAATCATTATAAATGGGTACTAAATTAAGAAAAGTTAAAAGGTGTTAAAGCATAGACAGACGGCAACGTTGATCCGAATTAACGCCGCAATAGATCTGATCAAATTTGTGCCTTGACAGACGGCAGTAATGCAGATTTACGAGCCGCGATCTCGTAGGTTCGAATCCCACGGCCAGTAGAATATTCATTTAATTTTTTTTTATTCATTCAATTATAACTTCTATATTTTTTAAATAGTTTTAGGTAGTTACTTTTGACTTTTTTAGTAAAATTAAACTCTAAAAATTTAAATTAACTAATAATAAAATAACTCCTCGCCGCCGTACTTGAATATCTAAGCTGGCGCGCCAACTACCGCGGGACAAGCCTTCTAAGCATAGGTTACAAGGCCTTATCGAGCGTATTGTGTGAAAGACTGAAGCCCACCGTCAATGAACTGATTGGGCCTTATCAGTGTGGGTTTAGACCAGGCAAATCCACCATCGAGAAAAGGATCGACACTCACCACCTATTTGTCGACTTTAAAGCCGCTTTTGACAGCACTAAAAGGAGTTGCCTATACGCCGCTATGTCTGAATTTGGCATCCCCTCAAAACTCATACGGCTGTGTAAAATGACGTTGAGCAATACCACCAGCTCCGTCAGAATTGGGAAAGACCTCTCCGAGCCGTTCGCCACAAAACGGGGTTTCAGACAGGGCGACTCCCTTTCATGTGACTTCTTTAATCTGATGTTGGAGAAAATAATAAGAGCTGCAGAACTGAACCGCTGAGGTTCAATTTACTACAAGAGCGTGCAATTGCTGGCTTATGTCGATGACATCGACACATCAGTAACAAAAACCGCGAAGCCTGTTCTGCCTTTTCCAAGTTGGATACGGAAGCAAAGCGAATGGGTCTGGTGGTAAACGAGGACAAGACGAAGTATCTCCTGTCATCAAACAAACAGTCAGCACATTCGCGCCTTGGCACCCACGTCACTGTTGACAGTTACAATTTCGAGAAAGTAGAGAATTTCGTTTACTTGGGTACCAACATTAACACCGATAATAATGGCAGCATTGAAATCCAACGCAGAATCTCTCTTGCCAACAAGTGCTACTTTGGACTGAGTAGGCAATTCAGGAGCAAAGTCCTCCCTCGACGTACGAAAACCACGCTCTATAAGTCACTCTTGGAGTGTTTGAGAGGAAGATTTTGCGGAAGATTTACGGGCCTTTACGCGTTGGCGATGGCGAGTACCGCAGACGATGGAACGATGAGCTGTATGAGCTTTACAACGACATGGACATAGTGCAGCGAATTAAAATACAGCGGCTCCGCTGGCTTGTTCATGTCGTTCGAATGGACACCGACGCCCCAGCTCTGAAAGTATTCAACTCGAAACCCGCTGGTGGTAGCAGAGGAAGAGGGAGGCCCGATGACAACACTGACCTAAACTCAGAGACCATAGAATGCAGAGAAAGTGCAAAATTAGCATGGACATCCACCTTGTCGTCGGTAATGCAGTCAANTAGCAGAGGAAGAGGGAGGCCCGATGACAACACTGACCTAAACTCAGAGATCATAGAATGCAGAGAAAGTGCAAAATTAGCATGGACATCCACCTTGTCGTCGGTAATGCAGTCAACGTATTAATTCAAATAAGTTCCTATTAAATTTTAATTGGATTCCTATCTGAATTAGTATGGTGACCGCATTACCGATGAAAAGGTGTATGTTCATGCTAGTTTTGCACTTTCTGTGCGTTCTACGGTCTCTGAGTTTAGGTCTGTGTTGTCATCGAATATTCCCTCGATCCCAGTCAAGTTTGGGAATTGACTCTAGGACTTAATCCGAATCAACTGCAGTTAATTCCTGAGATAATTCCGAATTAACGCGTTGATCCGGATAAACACTGCGGTCTGTCTATGCTTTTAGAGAGTTTACGGAGAGTTTCACATAAGGAATCTGTTAAATGGGCTTTGCGTGTAAGCGGTTACCCAACGCATATCACTTCACAAGGAGAATTCTGTTGGGTATTGATTTTTACGTAAAAATCGTATAGCAGTGCAAAGTATGCACAACTGGGCTATAAGGTCGAGGCGACGCAATGAGCGGCAAAGCGGCGAGCGGCTGAGCGGCTTAAAATTAAAACATATAAAATACTATTGAAGTGGCCACGCAATGAGCGGCATTTCTGAGCGGCTGAACGGAATTTTTGTATGACGCCGCTCAGCCGCTCGCTGCTTTACCACTCATTGCGAGGCCACGACCTAATACGGATATGTTTTGAAATAGCAGCTATAACTTCTGCTGATTATATTTTGTTGCTTTTTCCATTTTTCTTTAAACAAATCATGGCATAAAACTGTATAGCACGGTTGGACAGTGGTTCAGCCGGAGGTCAAATTTCAAAAATATGCACATTGTCTACCCTGTGATGGATTGACAAGCAATCATCCATTATTAGTTTTAGATTACTCCCTCACTCTCGAAAGTTGACAAAATACATTTTCATTGTGAATCATGTTTTCAGTGACTCAATACTTCTAACTTTTTTGTATTATTTTATGAAAAACGCGGAATTCATTCAAGAAACTCTGTAATGCAAATTCAAGACGAAGTTATGTAAGTGCTCTTATTTAGAATTAGAGTCCGACCGATTCCAATTTTTTTTTTCAGGTGGCGATTAATCGGCTTATGGGGAAAGAATCGGCGGATACCAATGCCGATTCCATAAGAAATTACAAATAAATGTATGTATTCATAAAATCAGTTAATTTAACGGAATTAACAAAACAAAAGAAAACAAATAATTGAATTAATTGGCTGGTTATTCAACATTAAATACACATGAGTGTACATAGTACATGTGTATGTGTAAAAGTATATGTATGTACACATAAAACATTTATGTACATTACATAAAACACTTTTTTATATGGTGCTAAGCAAGAAATATTTAGGAACATAAAATTTCATTTCGTTTTGTACTAAAATGCACTCTTTGCACTCAGTGCATAAGAACTTATAAGCTAGGTATGTACTCTTGTGGAAAAGCAAAAATAATTTTAAAAAATGGTAGATGTGATAGCTATTTCGGAAATCACTACATTTCCTCAACAGACTTCTTTCAGTGGGATTCGATCCAACAACCCCACCTGACTCAGCCAGTTACCTACGCACTGTGCTAAGTTCGTCTTAATTCTTGTGTCTGTTTTTCACTTGTTTCATTTGTTAAGCCAACTACAATCAAGCGGAGCTATTCTAGTGCTATTTAACCTTGATCATGTGGTTGTTGGTAATAATTATATTTTTAGAATTTTAACTTTTAGGTGTGTTCGTGCGTAAGTTATTTGTTTTTGTTATTTATGGCCTTTTAACAATTATATTCAACAATTTTTATTGAACTTGAGGCCGTTTTTTAATGAAAACTCTTGAAGAAAAGCAACAATAATTTGAAAAAAAAATGGTAATAGTGATAGCTATTTCGGAGATCACCACATTTCCTCATCAGACTTCTTTCAGTGGGATTCGAACTTAGCATAGTGCGTAGGCAACTGGCTGAATCAGCTGGGGTCGTTGGATCGAATCCCACTGAAAGAAATCTGGTGAGGAAATGTGGTGATTTCCGAAATAGCTACCACTTCTGCCATTTTTCAAATTACTGTTGCTTTCCACAAGAGTTTTCATTAAAAACGGCCATAAATAACAAAAACAAATAATTTAAGGACGAGCACACCTAAAAGATAAACATTCTAAAAATAGAATTATTAACAAAAACCAATAACCACATGATCTAGTTTAAATAGCACTGGAAAAGCTGCGCTTGATTGTAGTTGGCTCAACAAATGAAAAAAGTGGAAAAAAGCAACAAGAATTAAAGCGAACTTAGTTAGCACAGTACGTGGGCAACTGGCTGAGTCAGCTGGGGTCGTTGTAGCGAATCCCACTGAAAGAAGTCTGATGAGGGGATGTGGTGATTTCCGAAATAGCTATCACTTCTACCACTTTTATAAACTAGTAATAATACCCGAAAATCGGGGTGCTCCATGGTCTAAAAAATCTGCGCATTTTTTTATTCTAAAAACCACATGCATTGCTTTTGGTGACTAAATTTAACTTCGTATTTGGCAAGATCGTACTCTACTCAATACGCTATGCGTTAAGAAATCCTCTTTCCAGGGTCTGACCTTGAGACTTATTTATTCTTATTGCGAACACTACAATAATTTTGAATTGGCGACGTTTAAAGACGACGTTGGCGACGTTGATTCGCTGTGCTGTTAATTTTATGGGATAGTATAATTCGAACCACAGGTGTAAAGTGCATTAACTAACCCTTTATATGTACATATTTGTATTGCGGCATCCAAACAATTACATTGTATTCTTTTACTATTAACTAACCCTTCATATGTACTAGGAATGTTAATTCCGGTATCCCGGCCTTTTTAATGTCTCGAAAATCCCGGGATTTGTAATTTGCACTGATGGTAATAATAGAAACTCCTTTTCTTGTCCAGTATTGGCTATATTTTTTTTTTTATACCCGAGCGCACTTGTGTACAAGGGTATTATAACTTTGTTCACATAACGGTTGTTTGTAACAGGCAAAACGAATCGAGATAGATATACAGATAAATGTACACATAAATGATCAGACTGAAAAGAGAAATCGATTAGGCGGTGACTGTCTGTCCGTCCGTGCGTTCATCCGTCTGTGCACACGATAACTCGATTAAAAATTGAGATATCTTAACGAAACTTGGTAAGTGCACTTCTTTCCGGCTTAGGACGGACGGTATTGAAAATGGGCAAAATCGGACAATAGAAAAATACGAAATCTTCTATAAATCAGTAAATATTAAAGCTAATTTATTCAAAATTGATGCTTGCAACATATCTTTACCAAGAAATACGTTTATCGAAAATTATTGAAATCGGATACGGCCGTTTTTCATATAACGGTAAATTTCAGAAATGTTTGAGACTTCAATATTTCGAAATTTAAGGACGCTAATTTACTCAAAATTGATACACCCCGGCTTGCCATGTAGCGGTAGTTTTCGGAAAGGTGAAAGATATATATGTAATACTTGCGCCGGTTATTTAATGTTTGGCTTCACCCGAACTTTCTTACTTGTTTTATTTAATAATTAATATTTTTTTATAAATGTCTAGCTCATTACACATATAACACCGCGCGATAGTAAATTTTAAACACAAATATCAATATATTCGCGAAGCCATGGGCCAAATACCTATAGTAAAATTGCTTTTTTGTTTTTCACTCTGACGTCAGTAATTTAAAAATGATTTAAAAAATTCAGAGAAATGTGCTTAGAGAAGAAGTATGGGTATAAAATTAATGCGGAAATCCTGTAGAATTTAAACAGATTCAAGTGTCTGGGCTGGTAAATATTAAAAATGTAATTTTAAAATTTTATCCTTAAAATTTCGCAATATTTGAATGGTTGCCGCGAATAACGTTGTAAGCGCCAATTTACTCAAAACTAGCTTTTTCGCATATTACCGTTAAAAATACTCTCGCGTGTCATAAGGTCGCGAAATTTCTCATTTTCCATCAGTTTTCGGACATTAACCTACGCTCCAAAGTAAGCAGTGAGTGGAAAAACGTTTTAAGTGCAGGTGGCCATGGCCAATTTGGAATTAACAAGCGTAATGCAAAAGTGCAATAATGGTAACAAACGTAGAGTACATTTCGAAAATTGGAATTATATTAAAAATAAGAGGCTAATAAATAGTGGGGGCAGAATATTCAGGAAGAAATGGGGGAAAAATACCAGAAACGTTTTAAGTGAAGGAGTTGTATTAATATGAATTTTGGTTTTTTATTCCCCAAATTTTTAACTGCGCTTGATCTCTTCACTGCTCAAGCTTCTTATTGGAGACTATTCAAAAGCATTTCTCCACTTTTTATAAAATGGCCTATGATGAACAATCAAAGAAACCTTATTGTTATATTTATTACATTCATTTGTCGAAAAAGGTTGTAAGCGCCACCAGCAAAATTGCTAGGCTTACTGGAAAAACGTGTTATCATCCATTGGGATTTGGATATAAAACGTTTTTCCGTCATTAAAATTTTGTAAATCTTTTTTTGGCTTGAAAGATATATGTATATGGATATACATTTTAATTCACGGGCAAGTTTCTTGCAGACTGCTGCACCGAAAAATGGAAAACTAAATCAAATGACCTTATGTGCGTCGTCAAAAACGTTTTTTTCCATTCCTGAAAACTTATAATTATGTCGCTTACAACGTTTGGCGCGGCGAACATTCATTTGTTTTTAAAAAATTATATGTTAAGAGCTTATATAAACTCGATAACATCCTCGAATTTCGTTCTTCTAACTTTGTCAGCTTAAAAATTACCTATTCGTCCTTGTGAATCCAAAAAATTTTTAGTTTTTAAATTCTAAAGAAATTTCCTATTGCATTACCCATATTTTTATTCTACATTGCATTGAATTTTGCTAACTATTTTCATAATTCATATCTTTGAAATTACAAAGTCCTTCAAAATAAATCCTGGGGTCAGAGAGAAAAAATAAAAACGCCACTTTAAATAAAAAAGTAGGTTTCAAACCTTTTTTCGATTCAAGTTGTTGAAAAGTAATGAATATCTAAATCCCGGGACTAATCCCGGGATCCCGGGATTTTGACATCGCCATCCCGAAAATCCCGGGATCGGAAAAGTCCGAAAAATTTGCATCCCTAATATGTACATATTTAAGGTGGTGGATTAGCATCACAACTGGTGTAACTTTTAGTATCAAGTCATGAGGTGAAACTCCCCTTCATCTACTTGCTCCTGTAGATATACAGAAACGTAAAAATTCTTTGCTGACGTTGAGGGTAGAATTTTAAGGTCAAAAAAATATTTCCTTTTGGGTTGTTGTTGTTTCCGACAGAGTGGGTGTATGATGTATTATGGAACGAATTTCCGTCATCCCTTGTCAAATTTGGTTTGGAGACAAACCGGTTTCGGCGTTGTGCCATCTTCAGTCTCATTTTTCGTTCTGCATAATTTTTGTTGGTTGCTCGTATTTATACTCCTTGTTAACTACCTCTTTCTTTTGTTAGGTACGTCTTTTTAGTTTTGCAGTGTTTGCGGTACTCAATAGGTAGATGAATTGTTTTGGCTCGTTTTTGACGGCAGGTAGAAGTCCGTGATTTTTACCCCCTTTGTTTTTGCAGTCGGTGTATTCCCTTCCATATCTGTCCTTAATATTTTCTTGTTGTCATTCTTCTTCTTGTACAGTAGTTTTAGAGGTTCAAACAGTACGTCCGATGCAGTATTTATTTGCTCATTTATTATTTGTCCTTTGAAGGTCTTCTGTTTATATATTTCCATATTTTCTAATATATTCAATCTTTGTCCTTTATGTTGTACACGGAGAAGTTCTGTTGTTTGTCCAATCTTCATTGGTGTGCATTTATTTTTGGTCATGTGATTCGCGAAGTTCGATTCTATTGCAGCCTCTGGTTATCGTTTTTTCTTATTATTATCCCTTATGTGTTCTCGATACCTTGGTTCTTATATTTCGCCCTGTTTGTCCTATGTAACTGTGTCGGCACTCGCAGGTTAACTTGTAAACACCCTGTTTATCTAGCGGGTCTTCCTCGCTTATTTTCACTTTCAATATATTTCCCACTGTGTTCCTTGTTTTAAATGATGTCTGAATGTCGTACTTATGAAAGAATTTGGCAAGTTTGTAAGATGTCTTTATTTTAGAAGATTTTTTCTTCAATTACACATAATATAATGAAGCTGAAAAAACTATTAGTAATTATTCCAAGTCCTTCCAATAGAGGTTATTTATATTTTACTAGAAAAAAAAATTAATGGTTGTTAATAATGCAGTAATGCAAACGAGCAANTCTGAATGTCGTACTTATGAAAGAATTTGGCAAGTTTGTAAGATGTCTTTATTTTAGAAGATTTTTTCTTCAATTACACATAATATAATGAAGCTGAAAAAACTATTAGTAATTATTCCAAGTCCTTCCAATAGAGGTTATTTATATTTTACTAGAAAAAAAAATTAATGGTTGTTAATAATGCAGTAATGCAAACGAGCAAAAGCATTTTAGTGCATTAAAATTTTTTCATTAGCATTAGCTTGGATAATTTAATGAAAAAAAAAATTTCATTAGCATTACATCTTTCAGAATTAATGCATTGAAATATTCATTTGCATTAAATTTCATAAATTAATGCATTTTTACATTAACATTATTGCTTTAAATACCATTAATGCATTAAAAAGTTAATGCATTTTTCACAACTCTGGTAGATATCGACTCCGGACAACATATTAACCATTTTTTTAATAACTATCGTACAGTGTTTATCTTGTGGACGCGAAATTGATGGTTCCTTCAAGTGGTTTTGATTAATTACACCGGGCTGAGGTTCAAATACCCAATTGGCTAACCTCGCAAAATAATCTCTTTTGGCACTTATCTTAATTTTTTAACCCGGGGAGAGTTCTCGCCCTTTTGTAACCCGCTAGAGAAAACTCCAATAACCAGATTCTCTGAAGCATATTTATCGAGAGTTTAAAATAATTTACCGTTCCCTCAGTTCGCCTGCCAAGATTTTTTAAAGTTTTCAAGCATTTTAAAACCATACAAAATTGAAAATAGAGAAATGAATTTGTCAATGTTATTGTGGCTTGTTAACATTTTATTTTT